TAATCTGGTTCTCTGATCTAACCAGTCAGATTCTAACCAGTGAAATATTTCTTTCCCTTCTAAGGAAAAAAAATCCACCCTTGTTAAGGATGCCTGTGTAAGTCAATGACTTCAGAAAGGTACTTGAGGTACCGGCAGCAATCACTGTTATTTTGCAAAATGCACCATGAGCTGTAAAACCTTCCCTCCATACAGAGCTGAATGATGTTGCCACTTGACCAAGTGGTGTCCCAGGTAGCTTATTTACACACACAGGTGCAGCACTGGCTTCACTTCAGCAAATACGGCATTTTTGTTCCTTATGAAGTCTTTGCTTGACTTGGACACAATCGTAATGCAGCAATCCTTTGTGTCTGCAAGGAGCTATCCCCATTCCCCAGTTCTTTCAATGAGATGCTGGATTAGAGACACTCATTACTCAAGAAGTCAGAGCAGGGAATTATACAAGGGTTAAACTCAGGTATCCTGGATTTTGGAGTATTACCCAATCTTTTCCTTTTTCCATAAGGAGAAGGGTTCATAAAAGGAAAATGACTGTTAGGAGCTCGATGAAATGTGCTTTTAAGAGTTCCTTTCCTTTCCACATCATTGGAAAGTGTAGTTGTCAACTTCTCAGAATATGCTTTGTAAAAATGAAACTCCTGTATCTTCTCTCTGTGGCTGCAAGAAAAATCTAGAGGAGGCTACATGATCACTGAAGTTGCAGCTGTTGAGCTGTTCCTTCTAAGTTAATCCTTGGAACAGGAGAGATTTCACAGCAGCTATTACTGAACATAGAACAATGATTTCATGTTGAATACACAAACTTCATATATCTGTTCTATTTGGAGGCTGATGCAGTGATGGACAGAACCTGAAACCAGCTTTGCTGGCCAAACTGGAAAGTTCTGCTGAATACTTGTTTGGCTGTATGATCAGCTAGCTACCTGTGATGAAAACTCCTCAGCCCAACTAGTGCTTTTCTCAACTTGGCATCATAAGGTTCAATCATAAATCTTTATAAATACTATAAAATAATTTATAACTACTTAAAATACAGTGGAAGAAAATCTTCAGCTGTTTTTTCCATGACCACAGTAAAACAGCAGGTGTGGAAGAACAGGCCTTCAGACATGGAGGGTCAGACAGTTCCGTTTTGAACCATGTCTGATATCTCATGGCTGTTTATGCTCCTGTTAGCCTTGCTCATTCAAACATCACCTCATGGCTACAGAAACTGGGGCACCACAGCTTGTTGCCTTTTTTCCAGTCTTTCAGATTTGAAGGAGGTCCATGCTTTTCAGAGAAAACACATTTACTGGTATTTAAATACTACCTTTTTTTTTTTTTTTTCCTCCTTAGAAATACAGCAAAATTCCATGTGCAATGCAAAAACGACTTGCATAGCTGACACTGTGGCTTAATTAATTTCTCTGTTCTCTTGCCTCTTCCAAGCATTCTGTCACAAATACACTTCAACTCCTCTACCTATTCTGTCCCTCATTGTAGGGATATGTCCAAAACCAGAAGTCAAATGAAGATTGCCTTGCTCTTATTGGAGTGGTTGGCATGAGTGTTGGATTTACACAGGTAAAAATTCTGTCCTGCTTCCAAACAGAAAGTTACAGTTTTTTCAAGTCCAACTCAGGCTGGTGGGGAAGCAAAGTTTGGTGTTGCAATTTAGCCAGATACCTCAATCAGTTCGATCAGACTGAAAAGTTCTTAAAAGTAGTGTGGAGAGGAAGGTATCTCAGTCCATGAAAGACAGAGGCCTGAAGTCTACTTGCTTGCAACAAGGACGAATCCTAGCACCTCCCAATTTATGCAATGACAAGCACTTGTCATATCCTGACAGGTGAAGAGCAGCAATGTTTGCTGCAGTGTGAGCTAGTCTAACATTCCAAGCATTGGTGTTGACAAAAGTGATGCCTTTGGTCCATAGCGATTTCTACTTGTTACTACAGGAATAAGAAATAACTTTTAAGCTGTTATACACGCCAAAGGTAAATATTTCTTTCCACTCAGTCACCTGGGATCTTATTTACTGCGTATTTCCAAGACTATGAAAACTTAAGCCGTCAAAATATGCACATGACAAAATGTGCAAATTCTAGGATTCCCCTTAATTTTCTGTAGGGATTATTTACTAAATACAACACACTAAAAGAAAGAGTTATCATTGTTTGTCTTCTGTTGAGCCTGTCTGAACACTAGCGTTATGCTGACTTCTACAGTTCGAATGCCCTTGTCTTGAGTTGAATCCTGGAAGCCTTTCCCGCCTTTTAAAGACTTACATATTTGATCTTGCTGGCTTTTGCTTTCACAACAGTGCACATTCAGAATGCACATATATGGGAAATTTTATGTTTCATTTAAAGTTGTGTCTGATTGACAATCTTAAAGAAGACTCCTCCTTCCCGTTTCTTCTTTTTAGCTTCTCCTCCTTCTAAGAGAAGGGTACACATTACAAACCTGCTTATATCTCATTACCCCCCAAAAGGTTTTCCAGTACTTATCTCATGCTTTGATAGAACTAACTTTGTAACAATGAATAGAGACACCAGTGAGATGGTGTAACCTCTTCCCCCGTTGAGATGAAAGTGACTGTAAATGCTCTTAATGTGAAAAGAACGTGCTTAGGCATCTTGACACCACAGCTGCTTTATGCAGATTGCAACTAGCTTTGGCCAGGACAAATACCCTCCTTCAAGTGGAGTAAGTTGTAGCTGCAAGAAGGAAACCAAATTAGTTTGTCTACTAATGAATATTCTTCCAATCTTTTCTCAGCCTTCTCATGAGGTTTAAAGACTAGAAATTATTGTAGCTTATCTATAATCCATGCCATAATCATTGCTGAAATCTTGCTTTGCTTCTACACTGAAACTGCTTGTAAATATTTAATTAAAACCTGTTCACTTTCATACTATCAACCCTATTTTGAATCTGAGCACAAGCAGTGTGGAGAGCAATAAGAAACCCAGGCCAAGCCTTAAAAGCATTCTACATCACTGAAGTCACTATTTAGTCTAACTTTCCTTTTTCGAAGCAGGAGTGCCAGTTGGCATCTTCTGTAGTATGTGTTGTCTTCATACCTTTTTACTGCTGTTACCAGCAACTAAAACAATCACAGGACTGCTCCACAGCACAATGTATGGGTAGTGCCCTAACTTTAAAACATGTTCAACCACGCAACTACCCATGGAGAAAACCAAAATTCTTCAAAGTGGTAAAACTTCACTCACATCCTGCATGGAAACATAAAAGGCCAGCACCAGGAAGCACAGTAATGTTTTCTAGGAAAAAAAAAAAGCAAAAAAAAAGCAACACTGCACAAAAAGCAATCTTAAATTTGGGTCCTTACACCGCTGTTCTCTTTCCAAAGATACTTTTCCTTGAAAACAGTGAGTCATGAAAAACAGCATTCAAGCACTGCTAAGGGTGCAAGGGGAACAGAATGGTAGCAGTAACACCACCTTCCTGCAACTTAAAAACCTGCACGACTCATATTCTTGACACTGAGGTGAGGAAAGCCCTGCGAAGGAGAACACACTGGAATCATTCCCCACTCCGCTCCCACTCCCGTGAAAGCCGAAATGTGTGACTCAGTCCAGACTCTCTGTATCTATGCCCAAAAGATGTTTGACACCTCCACAACTGTGGAATTTCCATGACTTCCTCATGGTATATTCTAGTGCTTCACTAGCTGCACCGGTTTGCCAGCCTTTGCTAATGCCTTGTTTGTCTCCTTTGTGTCGGCTGAAGCCCGTTACTGCTTCTGTTTCTCAGCATCAGTCTGTTCTGCGGTTTATCCACTGGTACTATATTCTCTTTAGATAAAATCAAACATTTGTAAAAACTATGACCTAAAACAGAATTGTAGAGAAGAACAGAACTTCAATGGTTCTTTTCTTGCCCTCATCTCAACTCTCCACTTAATCAACTTCTTTCTTCAAGTACAATGCTCAAAACTGAAAATTGTGTTTTACCAGTGATGAGCGATAGACGATCACTTTCTGTATTTTACAGGATCTACCATACACTCCAAATCCCATATGACGGCTGCATTTTTTTTTTTTGGAAGAGCATGATCCTGACTTAGCAATTGTAAGTCTCAATGCTCCTGCAGAGCTGCTCTGCAGCTACCTCTTCCCTGGCCTCTACCTGTGGAACCTCTTGCCCATGTATGGTACCTTGCAATTGTTCCTTGAGGAAGAAAAAAAATGAGTAAACAAGTAAGTTTAATTTAGCCTTCTGCACTGAAGTTCCTCATTAAAAAAAACAACCAACCGACCAACCAAAAACCCAACAAAACAACTTGAAGAGACCTACCTAGTCAAGGAAGAACACTTTTTACGTTCAAGGCAGCTCCACTTTCACCAGTTAAATTCCCAATTCTAGATTAAAGTCAATTGGGATTAAGAGGCAATGCAGCTGAATAAGAAGTCCTGTTCACCTGTTTGATGTTGACACTACTGTTTGCACACCTTCACGGTGAACCAGAACAAGGAGCTAGTTTCTTGAAACACATAGTCACAACCAAGGAAAATAACTATGCATCTGATTTTATACCAGTCAAATAATAATAATGACATAAAAATTTTTCTTTATCACATCTGTAATTGACTTCAAATGCATCTCAATGACATTCTTACTACTTTGAAAAAGCACGCAGAAAAAGCCTGGAAGTGTACTTTATCATTTAATAGAAAAACTGTACTGCCAACAGCACACCAGTTCCTTAAACAATTACTATTAAGCGCTGTTCTAAGAATTAATTTTGCAATTAAAGAGTATAAACCTAAGTCATAATTTAAAAAAAGGCATTTATACCAGTTATTTCAAGGTGTACACATCGAAAGAAGCAGCACCACAGCTTACTGAGGAACAAAGCCCATCCATAATTTCAACAAGTAATTTCATACCAAAACCCACAAATATTGGTATCAGTACCATACTTATTAATATACTTCAGAAAACCCTAAATAATCCAAACAAGTGCACCCCATTTTGTTTCCTCATACTCATTGTTTCATAATGCTATTTTGCAGAGTTCTTTGTAACCTAGCTATGTTGGCATCCAAGGCTGCTAAGCTATTCTTGAAGTCCTCTTCATCTCGAGAAGTAAATGTTGAGAAAGAGGATGCACTCCACTCAGACTTCCTCGATGTATCATCAAATGAAATGGAACTAAAATCAGCTATTTCACTGCCTTTTTTCTGAGAAATCTCTTTTGGAAATAGCATTCGTACGTGAGGGTATGTACCAGGCTGAGGTTGGTCTGGTTTATCTGCGAAGTCTTCTGCAGCTCCACTTAGAGTGCCTTTTAGCCTCATTGGGACTTTGTCTCCTTCTGGCTTCACTTTATCCCCTGTACCTTCAAGCGTGTTTTCCATAGTCTTTTTCACACTGTAACTAGCACTTAATTTATCCAGAAGAGTTGGATCCTTCGATATCTCGCATCCATTCTGCTGCACAGAGTTTGAGAGCTCACAGTGGCAGTCCAACATCTTACAAGCCCCTCTACTTTGGGGTAGCACAGCAGTTCTTTCAGAGATTGGCTGCTGGTTTTTAGAGGCATCGTTAGTCAATGGAATATAAACAGTCTCATCTAACTTACTTTGGTCATCTAGTAGAGTCCCAGAATCACTAACTGTTTCTGCATCTGGCTTCAGTGAGGTTAGCAGTATTCTGGGAGTTGATGTCAGTTCTTCTGAGAATGTATTGTTTACTTTACTTCCTTCAGCAGCAAATTCTTCATAGGCTAGATTTTGCATTTCTAATTCTCCACTTTTATTTGAGAACTGAAGTTCTGTATCTGTCAAAATATGATCCATTTCTAATTTTTTAAAGCAAGTCATTACTGAAGCACTCCCAGGAAACAGACCAGGTTGCATCTGCTTCTCATGATTTTCCAAAAGAGATTTTGAGAGACCTTTTTCAGGTTTGGGTCTAATGTTGTCTACTGTGAGGTCAGACAGAAGCTTGGCCATACTGCTCTGCAAGGTTCTGTTAAGATAAGATCAATTAATCAGATTTAAAAATAGTCACTAAACAAATAATTTAAAACATTTATACAAGACCAAAACATTACAGTTATCAGACTATGGAAAAGTTATAATTCTCTTTCTACATGTTGTCATAAAACATAATACAAATGTGAACCAATTACAAGTTTCTTGAATTTTTTTCTTCAGCTCAGATCAATGTGCCTATAAAGTAACGAAAACAGCACAACCCAGTGAAGTGCTCCATATTATTCCCAATTCACCTGCTTTGAGTAGTACAAAATGAAAGAAATTGATGTCAAGAAACTGCTACAAAACATAGAGCAGCAGTTACCAAACTCAGTGAGAACTTTTTTCTGAATTGTTCTTCCCATAAAAAAATACAGTAAAAGAAATAAATTCTCATTTCTGCTTTGTACATCAAAAGAAATGAATGCTTAATTCTTATGTATATGGCATACACAGATAAGACATCATTATACTACCATCTGGTGGTCAGTACAGTAGTCATAGAAGCATGTAATGTGTCTAAACTTCTACTAAAGAATCTGAAGTGTTGATTAAAAATATTCTGCCATTCCAATTAGGATCAATTATAAACAAGACAGACAACAGTTTAACCTCCTGTGCATATCATGTCCAAACATTTTTTACGTACCTACCACTTTGCATGTGCAAAAAGCTATTTAAGTCTCCCAGCTTGCCACTATATTCATCATAAAAGACCATGATTAAATAAATTCACAGTAATAGTTCTAAAAAATTGTGAGTAACACCACCTTCGTTCAGTGATCCAAGAACTCGCACCTTTACCCATAATTATTATTTGGGCATAATCTACTTCAAATGTGTGTACAATTAAAGCAGGGATTGCTCATCGCCATGGGAAAAGCTTGCTGTGGGTCCTGAGGACAGATCTTTCTATGAGTTCATCTTAAAACAGACTAATCTCTCAATCAGTGGAAAGAAAGAAAGAAAGAAAAAAACCACCCTCCTTAATTCAGGTTAAGAGTTAAGTTTCCAAATTCTACAGCTTCAAGGGACACACCAGCACGTTTTCTGGTCCGTGCACTTCCCATGGAGCTCCCTATCAGCAGGTCTGCTATTAAGAGTTAAAACTTAGCTCAAGTTACGGCAGACAGCATTTTACTTTACAACAGAACTCAAGTCATGTAGCATGACAACCCCACTTTTACAAAATTATAGCAAAAGTAAGCACAAAGAGAAGATTTAGCCTATGTGATCTCCTAGCACCACCGTATGAGGAAAAAAAAAAAACAAAAAGCAATGAGGAGGCAATAGTAGCTTAGCCAATAGTACCTGGTTAATTCACGCAGTCTGTTAACTTCTGCATCACGCTGACGTAAAGTTATGCCCAAAATCTTATTTTCTTTCTCTGAAGCTTCCAGCTTAAACTGAAGGCTCTTCACATTTGCTAATGCCTCATCCACTTCTAAAATGCCAAAAAGAATTTACTTAATTATTTGAGTTTTAAAACACTAAATAAACAAAAAGAACAAACAAACCCAAACCACGTACCAATCTTAAGCTTGGTGGAATGAATGTCATAATGCTGTTTGTTTTCAAGCAATTCTTCTTCTTTATCTTGAATATCTTTTGCAAGACGTTTATTTTCTTCTTTCTGACTTTCTATTATTTTAAGTAGTTCTTCATTTTTAGCCTGCAGTGACTCAAGGCCTTTCAGTGATTCTTTCAATTGACTCTGGAGCATCAAGTTCAAGGACTGCAAAGAAGCTACCACCAAAAGTAAAACATGAAACGTTGAAGTGTTTTGTGTGGTACAGTTTGAATTTCTAAATCAAACTACGTTTTTAAATAAACTTGGTAATACAAATTGTGCTTAGACAGAAGAACAGTTTTTTGAGGCAGCAAGATAAAACTCAAGCTTTCTTCTTTATTATCTAATGTCATCTTAATTTTAAGAGACAAATAAGGAAAAATAATCTGCTCAGCAGCTGAAGAGCCAAGTCTCACTACATGGAGTCTAAACAGCCACAACAACCCATGCAAATGCAGCTGCATGATTAGACCCACAACACGCAGTTTAGTTGCCACTAAACACCACAACATTATTTTTATTTATATACCTGTATCTTTATATGTCTGTATCTATTTAAATAGAGCCTTAACAAAAATGCCCCTAATGAGCATCATTCTCTATTAGTACTTTACATCCATAGTTGCAGCTCTGTCCAGATGTCTTCTCACTTCTTTCTCGTTCTCCAAGTTGCTGGTTTAATGTTCTTAGTCTCCTAAATGCGAATTGTGAAAAAGCACAAATTCAGGAAATTCAGATTAAGTTCAAAACCACTGCGTTTTAAATTAGTTTGGTAAGAAGTTCCTATTGAGAATTAAATGTCACAGAATGTTTCAGAAATAAAAAAGTTTTAATAATGCATTTTTCTTACATTCCTGTATTTCTTCAACACCAAAGACCCTTTGCAAGTTCTGGCAAATATCTTTCCCTTTGTTATAAAGTACAGTGCGATCCAGTTATGTATGAGAGCTTTCCTGAAATGAGGGACACCTTTGCCTTTGAGAATACACTACAAAAAGAATATAAACAGGCTAACTACCTTGATACTGCAGTTCTCATAGAGAATGACCCATCGATCACACCTAGACAAAGGCCCAATTATGATGTAACTGATGCTACTAAAACATCAGTATTAACCGAATCTTGCTATGTGTTAATTATTTCTTTTTAAACAACATAGCCTCACCAACGTACTTTCTAATACATAAATACTGCACAGACAAGAATGAAAGGGCTGTAACACCTACACCAGAACAATGATAAAACATGCAATTTAGAGCAGACCAGTTAAAGACGCTTTAGGCACATCCACAGCGAATACAGCATCACTGATGAGTTACTCACCTACGCAGTTGGGCATTTTCACTTCTGAGAGGCTGTAAAGCTAGTGCTATTTCAGCTTGTATATTCATACTTTCCACTACCGCTGGGAGCAGTGATATGCAGTCTTCTATTTCATTCATCAACCTTAACATTTCTGAATCATCTGTAAGAGGTGAGAGGAAAAAAAAAGACCCCATAAATATATAAACCTGCAGTATGACAGTAATATTTCACATGCAACTAAGCAATCTACAAAGTTGTATAATGGTATCCACTTTTTTCCCAAAAAAGCCTCATCTTTATTTTAACTATATTTATTTATTTATAATTTTTAAGCTTGACTATGTAAACTATGCTTTAGGCTCTTGATAAATCACAACCCACCACCTCTCTGACCAGCCTTTGTGGGATTGCTGTTGTAATCTCTCTACACTGCTCCTTTCCCAGGGGAAAACACTGTATTTGAAATGAGAACAGTCTTTACCTAAGCTGTCACGATAATTTAAAATACTCCAAAAAATAATTTAATACTTATCCAGAGTGAAATATGAAGCTATTACAGCTTGGAAAACCATTCTAAGATGTCACATATCATCTGACACGTACAACTTCCAGAAACCCAAGTGCTCATTCATTTAATGCAGCCTCTTTGTGTTACTTGTATGTAATCACTCTACCGCCCAACGAAAAGGTCCTCACCTTGATCTGTTATCAGTGCTCTGAGCTCTCCCAGAAGATATTTTACAGTGTTCACTTTATGGGCTGTTTCTTCTGGATCTTCTTTTCTAGATTTTAGAACTTTCTTCACAAAACTGGTTTTACAGCTTGTCTCTCTCACTGGGGCTATGTCAAGTACATTCAGTTGGTCGTCTTCGTCAACCGTATCCTCACTGTGTTCTTCAGAAGCATCCTCCTCGTTGTTATTGGAAGCATTATGTTTTGCTGGACAATGAGGATGGCACTTCTGCTCAGTCCTGCTGTCCATCATTTCATGTGACTGTAACAAGGCCAGGTGAGCTTGTATGCATCTTATCAAGTCTGCTTCTTTTACCCGTTGCTCGTGGGTTGGGCCCATCTCTCTGCCGGCAGGCGCTGGGATGAATGCAGGCACTGCAGAGTTACTGCACGCTCCTGATGCTACCCAAGGGATCACACTGGGAAGAGCAGCGGCAGGCTGTATTTGTGCAGCAGTAGTAGAAGCAGCAGAAACAACCGGGCAAGCCACAGGTCGTCCCATCTCTGGCACACATCCATTGCCACTGTCTACAGGAACATCCTGTGTAAAGAATATTCACATCAAACAAAAAAATAACTTTTTCTTTAAACCTTAAAAAACCCCACCACTACCCGTGTCTGGCTCAGTATAGTCTTGATCATTCTTTGCAAATTATAAAAGCAACTACAACTCATTAATTGCATAATCTTCCAGTATATTAAGGAGTAATGAAAATGTAAATCTGGTTTAGATTACCTTTACATTAAATGTTATTTGCAACATTAAAGCACAGCTCTTTTTCAGCTGTTCTGTAAAGAAAAAACCTCAGCAGTGTTTTGGTTTTGGTTTTTTGCTTTATGACCACTCATTCCTTGAATCAAACCAGGACAGGGAAGGAAAAAAACCAGTTACCTTTCAGTATATGAATTTCTTAAAAGTCAAGGGCAGCACTAGCTATACATAGACTGCCTGCAGATGGAAGGTAAGTCTACAGTCTTACAGTTTCAAGGTGTAAGCCCTTTGCCACATTTCCCAAGGTGGCAGCTGGTACTCACCATTAGCTCTATTCTATACCTTGAAATATACAAGTATTTTAAAATGTGGCTCTAAGATAGTACACAGTGTCTGAAGAAATAATCAACTTGATCATTGGTAGGGAAAAGCTACATATGAGATACCATTTCTGTTATCAGGAGTTGGTTAATGATCCTAATATGCATTACTGAGAATGTAATTATTAACGGTAATTAACAGTTTCCTGCACCTTCCATGTTTGCTGTGCATTACAGAATTCACCATGCAGAAATAAGCAGCCAGTTGAAATGCCTCTAACTGCCTTTTTCGGTGTTTATATAAAATGCATTTTAAATACCAGTATTTTCTCTCATTATGTATCCTATTCATCCCTATAAACTGAAACATGCAATTTTTTTTAATTTAAGGATAATTATTACATAAACCCAAGAAAAACAACACTCTTAAATAAATGTATAAATAAATAGCCAGTGCTAATTTAAAATGTTTATTAATAGTCAGAATCAAACTTTTACTTACTGGCTGAGTAGATAAAGGATTAGCTGAATGCTGCAGGGACAGAGCTGATGTGGAGGTAGGTAATCGATAATTAAAAGCTGTAGTATTTTGACATCCTAAAAGAAAACAACACTCACAGATCAGGGCAATTTGGGGTAAAACTCATACAGTAAAATAGCAGGCTCTATATTAATAGTCCCACTAACCATGACTTGAGGTAGGAAAAGGAGTTACAGTAGGAATTTCGTTACTGTTTTGTGGTGTTTGGCCAGTTATCAGAGACATCTGAGTTTGTACATGCTCGCACAGTTTCTGATGCATCACAGGAGAGCGTTGACTGCAAGGCACATGAATTGGTTGAACCATCTGATTCTGTGCTGCACTGGAAAGTTCTTTCTCAGTAGAAGGTGTGGTGGACGAGGCAAATTTTCCATTTGATATTGGCACTATAGAGAAAGAAAGAAGAAAAACCCCAGCTGAAGTTATCTGTCTTGTTGATCTACACAAATCCACTGTGTTGTCAGGCAGACTCTGGCAAGTTCCTTTGAAAAAAGAAAACCAAAAGACGCTACAGCCAAAGATTCTAGTCAGACTTTTTACTCACCAGCAAATTAATCCATCATTTTTGTCTTCCAGACAGAGCAACTCAACCCAGCTGGACAGATAGCTGTCCTTGAAGAAACACTGAGATTTAGTCCTACAGAAGGCCAGTTCTAAAACGCAATTCTTAAAATATCTGCTTAGCCGCTTCCTAAGCTTTTAAACCATTCAGAATAACCCATACCAAAGCACTCTCCAAACCTACTTTTCTTATGTTGGGTACAACAAAAACTCCGTGTCTTTACAGTGCTGGAAAGATAGCAGCTATGTGCTCACCTTCTACAGTTCACAAAACAGGCACTCTGCTACACCCCTAGCCTACAGGCCTGTCTGCTGGGTTAGAAATCACACAAATGGAACATGGAGAGAGGGAGAAACACTAAACAAAGTGAAATATTTCAACTGAGAGCAACTCAGCCTACAGCACTCCATCCACCTTTCCATTCAAGTGCTCTGGCCACTAAACCATTTGAGTTCTTACTTATCTATTCCAACACCTTCCTGTTTGCAGAAACTGATCGTAGAGAAAAACCTGCCTGGACACCTAACTCCAGGACAGTTTATAGCTGCGTATCCCAGAGACCAAGCACTGTAATGCTTCACTGTCCAAGAGAAATGGGGCATGGGTAATACCCATCCTTCTCCTCCATTCTTCCTACCAGCTAGACTTGAGGATGTTGGCATTTGTAAACACACTCAACTGTCTTCCTGGTAGAAACTCAAACATTTGTGAATTTTAGTAACTGTTCAGTAAACATATAAAGCCTACATAATTTTGTGGATCCAGCTCTGGATCAACCTATAAGAAATGACAACAATTATCTGAAGGCTTGTTATATCTCAGTAAGTTGAGAAGTCTCTCAATGTTGTTTGAGAAAAAACCTAGCCCAAGAAAGCCTGCTTACCAGTTTCTTTTCGGACATGGGCAGGAGTAATGTTTTTTTTCAACCCTTTCTTCTTGGAAGTATTTCCTTTGGTTAGCAAAGGCTTGGAAGTAATCTTAATGGAAGTTGTTTTCCCACGTTGTTTATGGATAGTCTCCCTTCCTAGTATTAGTCAAAGAAAATAACTAGTCAACAAAACAAATCAAAACAGTCTCAAAAAAACTAAAAACATAACTTAAATTTTCAATAGGTACCACCTGTAGCCTCATTTTGTAAGATATTCTTCAGCAAAGCTGCACAACGGTCAAGTCCACTATGAACAGTATCAACCTGCACAAAGAATACTGCAGTCAGAAAATGAGTATCACTGTTTTCTTTCCGTAAACTAAGGTACTATTTTAGAGGTGTTCCCTACTCTATCACCTGAAAAAGAATAACTGATAACCAGCAAAACCATGTCATTTTCCATGTATTACTTTGCAATGACATGAAAGTTTGCAAACACACAAATTTTGCAAAAAACCCTAAATTGTGCTCTTGCACATGTGTCCATTTGCTGGATTTTATGTTTTGGTAATTGTATTTGTGTGTTTTTTATTCTTATTTCCATGTACAATTAAGCTATTATCTACAGCCTATTTCTACTTTGCAGAGAATTGACTCAGCACTACATAGAAAACAGCACTGCAGCACTGACTCCATACAACTCCCTCTTTTTGGCACAAAACCTAACAACTACAGCTATACTTCTGCCATGGCCAGCTCTAGTCCATAAACAGCACAGTTGTGCTTGCAAAATACATGGAATCACTGCATGGTTTGGGTTGGAAGGGACCTTAAAGACCATCCAGTTCCAACCCCCCTGCCATGGGCAGGGACACTTTCCACCAGACCAGGTTGCTCCAAGCCCCATCCAGCCTGGCCCTGAATGCTACCAGGCAGGGGGCAGCCACAGCTTCTCTGGGCAACCTGTGCCAGTGCCTCACCACCCTCACACTAATGGATTTTCTCCTAATAGCTAACCTAAAATACCCTGTGCCTTAATGAGATTTGTCAGAGCCAAACTCTCTGCACAAAACCCCACCCTGCATGTATCTGCAAGACGCAGTATATACCCTTGCTAGCTTTGCAGGGGCTGTTTTCTAGCCCAGATGCAGTAGTACCTAAATTAACCAGTTTTGATTCTATTATTCAAGGTATTCCAATTTCCGTTCTCTTTAGATAACAGAGATGATAGTATTAAAGTCATCTAATTACCTGATCATCAGAGTCAGTGGAATAGAGGGAGTATCCAGACTCCACATCAGAATGACATCCTTTTCTTAAGCCAAACCTGAAAGTCAAATTCACTGTTTATACTACCTCCTTAAGAAGCAGCAAAGTAAAAAAACATACTTTTATTCAATAATAGCAAACTAAAGTAAATTAATTTTACCAAGAAACAAAATGTCTTTGTCTTGCTGAAAACTTTGCATTGCTGCAACAAACACGTTTAGTAGATGTTAACAGCTTACGTCAAAGGACAATTCAGTCTTTACTCAACAGCATTACATATGACTAGTAACCGTACAAATTCAATCTTTTATAAATAAAACATGCAGAGAAAGTCAACCCTGTATTTCTACAGGCAAAATTTCTATTCAGTTTGTGTCTGTCTATTCATGGGCTGCTTAGCACCTAGATGCACTGCCTTTCAGCTAAAAACGTCTTCTGATATATACAAAGAATTTTGGGCTCGTTGTGAGGTATGACAAGTACAAGGTTCCCAAATGCTCACACATACGCTCGATCTCAGATAGCATGCATGATTAAGGTCTTACTGCTTTCTTCCATTTGCTAATTTAGCTGCTCCTGTTAGCCTTCCAGAAGACAGTACCTGTGGATTACAGAAATACACTCTGATTTTCATGAAGGACTTTCACAATATAATTTAAGACTACCATTGCCCGCTGATTCCAAGAACTGTTGCCGAGGCAGACCGGTCAAAGGTAACGTACAGCACTCACACCAAGGAGGGGGCCCACCGCTACCATTAGGGACTGAATCGCGTACTTTTCATGTCACAAAACATGCCTTTACAGCGCGAAGCATCGTGAATTTCCGCAGCGCTCTACGGATACAGTTCCTCAACGACACGGTCAAGGGCTGAGTACAGACCCACGTTCCAGGCTGAAACCAAGCTCTGTAAATACACCCCCAAACTTCGGGGGATTTTAAGAATAAACCGCTGCCCCACCACGGTGGAAGAACCCCTGAAGGGGAAGCTTGCCGCGGTGCCCCTCACCGACACACACGACCCGGCCGAGCCCCGAGGAGGGGTGGCCGGGCGAAGCTTCGCCCAGGAAGGCCCCACTCCCCTCAGCAGTCGCTCCGCTGATCGCCCAGCTCCGCGCTTGGCGGGGCCGCCTCCCTCACCCCCCTCCGAGCAAATCGGGGGTCCGATGAGGCACCTAAAGAGAGGGCC